CTACATTTTAAAGTTAAGGAAACTAAGGATAGAGAATGATGATTTCTCAGTTCATTAGGACATAACAGGGTATCTAATACTAAAATTCTTATTCAGAGTACTGTATCAATGGCGTCGACATTACCACAGAAGTTTAAGTATCTCTTTCTCTCTCTCTCCCTCTCTCTCTCTCTCTCTCTCTCTCTCTCACATACACACACACTACTTGGGCCCGTTCTAGGAAATTCTGATTTAGCAAGAATAGGATCAATGTCAGATGACAGATTTGGAACACTGTTCTGCCTAACACTGCCTCCTTCAAGAGTGGGATGTGTTCGCCAACTAGATCTCAAAATAAGAAAAAGTACTTCAAAAGGAAATGAATGCATCAAGCAAGCAATGCCACAGGGAAGTTTTTGAATAAGGTGTGCACTTCATTGACAGTCATCTTGTGGGCAATCTAAGATACACTGAAAAGTTTCCTAAGAATCTTGACATTTATTGTATCAGGCTTATATTCATATGCTTCATTCAACAATGATATTTTGGAGCATATATTGTTGGCAGAGATGTGGTGATGAGTAAAAAAATACTCAATATCTAGTAGGGGGATGTTTAACAATGATTTTACTAATAAATATATAATTCTAAGAGATATTCTGAAGGAGAGATGAATGTATAAAGCAAAATAGAATTAAAAATATGGAATATCTCCTGAGAATATGTTGATGATCTGAGGCCTAGAGGGTAAGTAGGAAAGCTAACAAAGTTTTTGAAAAAGTTCCAGCGAAAGAAGTATTCTTGACATATTCAAGGAGCAAGAGTAACTCAAATGGAAAGAATGTGAATATGTTTGGATAAAGACGGGAAAGCACCAATGGGATGGATATTCTTAGAAAAGGGATTGAGAGGAACAACAGAAAAAAGGAAGATAAATAGCACTTGTTTATTTAGAGTATGTGCATTGAACCTTGAGTATGGGCCTGGTACTAAGATCAATATTGTAGTATATAAAATATTAAGGCAGTTCACCTTCTGGGGCACCTGGATGGCTCAGTCGGTTGTGTGTCTGATTTTGGCTACAGTCAGGATCTCAAGGTTCAATAATTTAAGGCCCAAATCAGGCTCACTGCTGTCAGCATAGAGCCCACTTACAGTTCTTTGACCCCCTCACTTTCTGCTTCTCCCGCACTCGTCTTCCCTCCCCGCCTCTCTCCCTTTCAAAAATAAGTATTTAATTTAAAAAGAATATTTAAAAGAACAGCTCACCTTCTAAAAAAAAAAAGCTCACCTTCTAATTTAGAAGATTAGATACATATTTAAAATAATTTGTGAACATAACTATTAAAACAAATATTAAAACAAATTTTTATATTTGGGTTTCATAGTTTGTTAAAATATTACATGGCTTTCAAAGAAAAGTGAACAATATGGCAGCATATAGAAGGCACTAAAACTTTAGTACACAAACCTTTTCTGGGTTGCCAGTGAGTAGCTTTTTGTCCTAAAGCATTCAATATCCCTGTGTTTCAGTTAGCATATGCTAGCAAGAGAATGACAAGTACTGGTTAAATTAAATGGGGAATTGCTTATAGGGAGGGTGGCAAAGAGAGGTTCTATTAAACTTACATTTCCAGACACTTGTATTGCTAACAATATAGCTACAGTTTACTGGGTTCAATTATCATTGCAAATTGGCAAACAGCACTTGCCAGCCTTCTAATCATTCAATATATTCTTTCATGTTCAAGCACAGCTGACAGTTTAGTTGAATAGTTAATGTCAAAAATTTCTTCAATTATATCCAACCATACATACAGAGTAGTTAAGTGGCAAATAGGAAAAAAGAAACCTTTTTATCTCTGTTTTCTATTTTTCAAATAGTTAAAAGAGTGGTAGATTGCCTGCGTTGCTGGCTGAAATTTGGAAATATAAATGTAAGTAGAATTCTCTAACTGGACGTGTTTTCTTCCAAGTGCTAACGTATGCTGGTTACAGTGAGATTTTCACATATTGCACAAATTTGTAGGGCTTATTCCCTAGCCAGTTTACCAAAGGTCAAGATTATACTTTTGCCAATAAAAACAGTAAAACTACATTTTATGTACTTTGTAGAATCCTACTCCATACTTTATAGACACGACCTACAAAATTATCTCCATAGAAAGAAATAATAGACTGTTGCCCAATTTTTATCTTTCTTATTGACTAATCTTTTGTCTTCTCTGTCCTTCCCCATGTGAAACACATTTTTAAAGTAAATAAGTCATTGATATCGTTTGACAGTCCATTGAATTATATGATCACCTAGTTTCCTGACAGAATTTAATTCAAACTATAGTTTTCATCTTTCCACTGCAGATTAGAGGAAATCCAAATCAGAGGAGAAACATGTTATGTTAATAGATCACAAGTATGATTTCCCCCCCCAAAAAATGGCTCTGCAGGAAAATAATTTCGAAATCTAACATTGAGGTCAGGTCTCTTGTTTATCCCTTCAGCTTGACAGAGAATTTGTATTTTTTTCTAAAGGAAATGCCAATTAGAGACCTAGTATGGGTTTAACTTGCACCTTCTACTTGGAGAAGTGTTCTGTAATACCTGTCTCTCTCTGTGCAACCTGAACTTGGCATTGAATGTGCTTTGTGGAACGCAGGTTTCTTTATGCAGGCTTAAATTTGCAGTTTTAATAAGTTAGATGAATTTTTTGATTCATTTTATCTAAGATACTAACATCCTACCAAATATAAATACAATTTAAGTATTTCTATCTAAAACATGAAGTAATTAGATACTGATTTTTTTTCTGCATTTTACCATCTCTATGCTTTGTTTGTGTGAATACATGCTACTGAATGAATTAAATACACTTTTTAACCTGCTGATTCATTTTCCAGGGTTAGAAATGAATGCTCAATGATTTCTACTGCAGTTAATATAAACATTGACCTGATTAAATGCAGAGATTCCTGTATGCTATTAGATGGCCACAGATTTATCACTTCTGCCAAGGTTTTGCTCCTGGCATGTGATTAAAAAGCATAGGCCAATTTCTACTTTTATCTACTTATTTTTATTTCCTATTTGGCTCTCTTCACTGGCACTGGATCCATGACTCCTTGCTGCTTACATGCTTTCTAGCATTTATTGTCTTGGTTTTCCTCTCGGTGGTACAACAGTCCAACTGCATGATATACTTCCCTATACAAAGATAAACCACATCATCATCACTCAACCATCCTGAACATGGTTATAATGCTGTGGTATAATAGGGAGGAAAGCAATCACCAACAACTCTAGGATTTTCCAAGTTGATATGAATGCTAACAAAATGCACCAAATGAGCCAGATTTTATTATTGAAATCTTTGCAAAACATTAAAGTTTTGGTTTAAATGATGATGTCATCTAGAAGAATAGTCTTCTGGAGAAATTAATGGACAGGGTCCTTATTACTGGGTTGTTCAAACCCATGTGGGCACTCCTCTCACTAGAGTATTTATTACAACAAATGACTTTTGCTTCCTAATGATCTGGCTGAATTTATATACCTCCCTTAAATAAAGGAGAAAAGATTGATATGCTAGGAAGACAGGATCTTTGCGTATAAATGATAGCATATTATGCAGATTTATTAATATTATAATATCTAATATGAAGAGAGAGAGGAAATAGAAGAAAGTTATTTCTAAATAAAGGATGGACAGATTGTTTCCTTCTGTAACCACCAAAAATATATATTAAATATTCTCTGTATAATTTAACACTCTGCCATTGATGTAGTTTCTCTTTTTGTGTGATTTTGATATTTAATCAACATATTTTATGATTAGTATCCATATTCCATTTCAGAAGATTCAACAATTAAAAGAAAATGACCATAAATATATAATTATTATTTAATACTCACTTAACTTGAATTCATTATAATAAAATGTATTATGCACCCAAAATATGAGAAAAATGGGGAAATTGAGCTTTATAACAAATTACCAATATTTTGGGATCTTCTGTTTGTACAATGTTTTGAAATACTTATTCATGGTCTATTTCTATAAAAGTTTGAATTTGCATTTGTAGGTGAAAAAGTACTGTTAAAATTACTTAGTAAAGAGCATGGTGAATTCAGAAATATATGTGATCCTATGGAGTATGTCCTATTGCATAGTGAGAGATAATATGCCATTTTATATTACTATTTATATTAATATTAATATGTTAATATAACATGTGTATACAACATATAATTAGTAATGTATGCAGTTATATAATAGAGTCTGAATAATGATCCTTTCTCCTTTGGCTATTTTCTATTTTACCCAGTTTTTTCAAAGTACACAGGACCCACATGGAAACAATATACTTATCAAAGTCAGCAAAAGAAAATGGATAGTTTGGGGGGGTCAAAATGGGAAATGGATAGTTTGGGGGTTCATTTGAGAGATGTTCATTTTATTGGGGGTTCATTTGAGAGATGTTCATTTTATTGAAGACAGAAATGACCTGAGTACCTATTCTCATCGTGTAATAAAAATAAAATTCTCAAATAATATAGCATATTGAAAATAGATGAAATTTTCTCTTTCTGGATAGATAGATGATCGATAGATTAGAAAAATAAATGATAGATAGGTAGATAGATAGAGATATATAGTTGTGTATACCTTTAGTTATTAGTTACTTGGTTAGTTAGTTTATTGTCTCATTGCCTATCAGTCTCAATCACATTACTAGTATCAAAAAATTAAGCAATTTTCTTTAGATTTGTTTTAGGATTTATCACATAATTCTCCCACATTATATAATGTAATATTAATATTTTATAAATAACTACCCAAGATATATTTAAGGCAAAATGGATTAGTAAGGCTGAAAAGCAATAGAGGCATATGGTCTGCACATAAAAATAGGAGTATACTGTTGAGTTATTGTAATACAGATTTTATTTTAGTTGAAGCATTTCTTGTTTCAGGCAAACACTGAAATGCTTAAGATTAACAAAGACTCATTTAATTTGCCTTGAGTTTGAATTAAGAGGCTAATATCTTAAAGCAGTATCTTAGTAGACAGGATTTCCCAGGTCACATTTTCATAATCCCCAGTCTTCATGGGGTATCCACTTTTTACATCACATACTAATTTCACACTTGGGACAGTCCTTTGTAATATCAGACTTGAATGTGACTGTTGTTTCAGAGCTCCTGGAATAAAAAAAGAGTTGTCCATTATCCCTGCCACAACATAACCTATGATAATTAGTTGAATCCTAAAGTTCATTCTATTTTGATTATTATATTTGGTCTGTTAATTTATCATTTGCTTTTCATGTATTTTACCTGTATTTGAATACTAGGGCTAAATCATATAAGAATAACAATGGGTAAATAGATAGAAAGACAGTGAAACAGGTAGATAAATGGAAATGGTAGAAGTGACTATTGTTTCTCCCTGTCCTTGGGAAATCTAGATGCCTATACTCTACATTTTTAGAAATGAATATAAAATACCTAGCCACTGGTCACTGGGAAGAACTCTGAAAAATCTAATAATCAAAATGTACATGCTCTAGGCTAAGAAAGTAAATATTGTTATTATAAACCATGTGTATTACTTCAGAGACAAATTTCTACAAATATTGTTCTCTCCTTGTTTGACATGCAGTGTGGACAGACAATGAGAAACTGCCTCCTTTCTCTATATTTACAAACTGTAAAATAAAAATCTGTGAAAAAAAACACTCTATATTTATGTTGAGGCAGTTACAAAACAGGCCTCATTTAAGAAGAACCCCTGTATAAACAGGGGTGCAGAATGTGGTGCATGATCCTGAAAAAAATCCTTACTTTGGGCAACATACTAATATTGAATTGCTATTCCCTTAACCATGGTCCTAGTAGATACAAGAGCAAAGACACACCTCTGTTGGTAGGAGGGAAAGTTCTAGCTATAAGGTATGGACATTTGTATTGTCAGGCAATCAGGAAAATAGTAATCTTGCATAACTTGGACAGCAAAGTCATAATGTAAGTTCCAACTATATTATTGTCAAAATAATCATGCTCAAAAATGTTGTATTAATTGAGAAGTATTTTCGTTGTTGCCATAACAACATCATTTTATCATTACTGTCATCATTCTATCCATTCTGTAGTGAGAAATCTCTGGAATGGGGTTGGGAACTTTTTAATTTGTAGTGGACACCTGCAGCTACTTATGTTCCTTAAAGTAGTTTAACCACTATTTAACTTAATGCTCATCTTCCAAGTTTCTGTTTCTATAGCTACCCAGTGTGGACTAAGAAATCAATACCTGGGAGAAATCTGATGTAGGTGGTCAATGATCACTCTTAAGACATATCGGAATAAATTGTGGTGCGACTGGATTCTTTCTTTCTTTCTTTCTTTCTTTCTTTCTTTCTTTCTTTCTCACTCTGTCTTTCCCTCTATCTCTATCTCTCCCTCCCTCTCTGTGCTTCTGAATTCTGGATAATAAATATATGAATCACTTGAGTGGAAAGCAGCAGATAATTGGCATCAGTCCTCTATAGGAGGCTGGGAACTATGTCAAAGATGCTACAAGCAGATGTGTGTGTCCATGGCATGTCACAGAAGGCATATCCAGTTGCAATGTGTTGTTAATGTCTACATTGTTACTTCGTCTTGTGATCTTGTCTGGAAAATCTCAGGGAAAGACTGATACTAGTTTGGTTTGAGAAAACTTAGTCGGGGATTTGGACAGAGTACTAAATGTAAAGTCAAAGCTTGAAACCCATCTACCAATAGAAGTCCACAAGTGGCCAAAGGATTAATGGGAGAGTAAGAAGTAATAATAGCCTAAGGAAAGGATAGGTGGATACTTTGTCAGGATCTTTTTTTAGTTCAGAAGAAAGATAGGAAAATTTTAATAAGGATGAATAAAAAGAGAAAGGTGGAGGAGGACAAAGAAGGATGATTTTCTGCAATCATTACTCTAAATGATAAAAGCAATTCTTAACTATATCCATACTATTACTTATATCTATGTACAATTTATATTCTATTTTCACAGTAATTTATCTCATTTTATTTTCGCAGAATCCTCATGAAATAGGTTTGGCAGGAGTTGCCAACTTATTTTTTTAATGCAAAAAATAGAAACCTAAATTATTTCCCCTGCTTTCCTTCTTAGTCATAAAGCATCTTCAACTTTTCCTGACTAGCTAAATGTTAATAAGGGGAAAATACTAGGAATTATAGCCCCATAGAAGGATTACATAGCTAAACCTTGTAAAGTCATTGTTTTCACATTCATTTGATCAAAAGACTGATATACAACATCCATAAAGTAAATATTGTAGAAGGAAAGATCATTTAGTTAAGCATAGCCAGCTAAATTGAATAATAACAGTATGTTCATTTTTAAGTCTATGGAGAACAATTATAGCATCTTGGGAATGAAAATGGTGATGAGATATTCAACATTGACTTTAATAATTCTAAACAGGATGTGGGTTTGCAGCATCAAAGTATCTGCCTCCAAGTTCAGTAATGAACTTCTAGCCTCAAAACTGTTCTTTCACTTGCTTGTTACATCCATTTTTTTTCATTTAGCCTTCTTCTTATTGGGTAATAAATGATATGAATGTGAACATAAAATTGTCTTAGGCTGTAAAGTGGCACCAGATATTATGAGAACCTGGAAGAAATTTCATATACTACTAAGAGTATACTATCTCTTTTCTTTCTATAATGCCACAAATGATTTCAATGAAAATGAGTCACAGTGCCCAAGAAGAACTAGATATTGAACTTTACAAAAGTACAAGCAGACCTCACCGACAGGCAGTTCATCATGCTTCTACATTTAGGTATTAATTTCAATTTCAATCTTCCTGTAAAACAAAAAGGAAGAATTTTTTATTATGGAGTAATGGCCTTGCTGAAGTGACATAAATTATAGTTGAAGACATTAAAGTTACACACTAAAGGCTACTTCCCACTCCTTTACCCTGTGTATTTCTTCCCAGTACAGTCTGATTGCTTCTAAAACTAATCTAGGTTTTTGTCAAACCAGGCTCTCTACTTTCCATATAGGACTGCTACAGTGTTCTTAGGGAAAGGTTGTAAGAGGCAATTGTGTTATTTTGCCTCACTCGATGAGATATCACATTGAGCATATCCTTGAAGACCCTCTCACCTTTATGTTGCTATCATCTATGAATCTGAAATTTGCTAAAACCCTACTTTGGCAATCAAGGACAAGTCAAGTATAGACAAAATTATTAATTAGACAAGTAAAAGTTTTGGTTTCTTCTGTCCTTTCTTGCTTCCCCCCCCCATTGTATTTCCTAGATTTTATCTACATTTTACTCAGAATTCCTTTAGCACCAATACCTATTTTATTGAGTATAAATGATATCCTAAAATCTATTACAGCTGCAACAGTTACAATTCCAAATGTGGCAATGTGGTTTTCTTCCAGGAGTTTTTGGTAATGTTGAGGAAACGCAAGAGACAGACAATTATAAAATAATGTGATAGTATCATGAAGTCAGTGAGGTAGAGTGCTTTCATATAGGCACTTCTAAGCAAATCTTACCATTCATGCAAGTAAGTCCCTAGAGTAAGATGGAAGTTGAGGCTTGAAAGATGAGTTAAGGAATAAAAGTTGTCTGGAAATTAAAAAGAACAGAATTGGAGGATGTGGAACCGGCTAAGTTTCAAATTTAAGGAATAATATAGATGTTTTGGGCATTGTAAACAATTCTATTTTAAAAAGAAGTCAACTTTTTTTAAAAAATCAGCTTTAAAGGTATTAAATTATAAACAGTAAAAAATTAAATGGAGCAAAACTAATTTAGAATAGAAATGTGTCTCTTAGAATACAAGCCATCAGTCTTATGTCCCTAAGACAGAAATCATTCATCACTTCTTCTATGTCATTGCAGTCTGTTTCAAACCTCTTGAGGCAAAAGGGTGTGTATACATGTAGAGTACAGAAGTTCTGTATCATATACACCAAAATATTGGCAGATTTTATATATCAATATGTAGAATTATTCTTATTCTTTTTTTTTTAACTTTATTTTTTAGAGAGAGAGAGACAGACCATGAAAGGGGGAGGGGTAGAGACTGGGAGACATAGAATCCGAAGTAGGCTCCAGGCTCTGAGGTGTCAGCACAGAGCCTGACGCAGGCCTTGAATTCACAAACCGTGAGATCATGACCTGAGCTGAAGTTGGACGCTCAACCAACTGAGCCACCGAGGCCCTTGTGCCTTATTCTCTTAAATTGGATAATATTTCTATTATATATATTTATTAGATTGTTCCAAAAATTAGTTTTCATTTATTATTAAAAAAAAATGCTGTTTTAAAGGCCAATGGGTACAAAAGTGAGTGTATCTATACCCAGAACTTAATTTGAATTTTTATAGATATTGCCAAAGTTTTTTCAAACTGCTTGTTCCAATTTAGTTAAAAACTGTGAGAGTATCTGCCTCCATGCTGTTCTGAAACTAGTGATACTTGGGTTGGAAACTATAAAATAGGAGATTCGTACATTTTTAAGTTATTGAATCTAACATTCAAATTAATATTATAATATTTATATTTGCCAAAATTCTAAATGAATTAATTTTTAATTTTCTATAGAAAAGATTAATAAAAATATTTCTAAGGCATTTTTTCTATATATCTTTCATATCCTTCCAATATTTTTCTATCAATTGTTTTTCTTTCTCTTATTAGGTTGTTCATTTTTATGATTCATATAAATAATTTATGGAAATCATTACTATCATAAATGTTGCCATTTTTCCTGAATTTTATTATACTTTGTTCAGAGTGAGTATTATTATAGATGTTGTAAAAAGTTATAAACAAAATTGTTAGTCTAGAGTTTTATATTTTCATAAACATATATTTATGAAATAAATAGTAATATATTCATATTATATTACATCAATAATTTATATTATATTTATATTAATTATAATATGTTATATTAATTTTATATTTTAAAATATAAAATGTATTTATAATTTTATATTTTAATAATTTATATTAATATATTTATATTATATGATATGGATAATTTATATTATATTTATATTAATTATAATACATTCTATTAATTTTATAATTTCATATATTTATTAAATAAATATTCATATATTTATATTATATGAATAATGTATATTATATGATATGAATAATAAATATTCATATCATAAATATGGTACTTTATATTTTTATTCTTTTAAATTTAGAATATTGATTCATTTGAACATTTTATTATAATAGGTAAGAGAATGATTCAATCTCATTTATTTAATAAAATTTAGAAACTTATTTAATATCATTAAATAAACAATTCAGTTTTCTGCACAGATTTGAAATGCAAATTGAAAGTATTACATATCTAGTAGTGTTTTTATTCCTCCTAGTTTTCTATTATTATCTACTGATCTTTTTGTCTGTTTATCCCTGTGACTACACTACATTTTAATAGTGTATGTTTAATATTAATTTTGAAAAATTACTCATTAAAACTCTGCAGGACTTTTCCAGAAATTTTATACATCTATTTTTCTTCATAGAGTCAAGTTTTTATAAGTTATATATTCACATTTATAAACAAAAAATCTGTTAGGAATATCTACCTATCTACATACACAAATATATGTGTGCATAAGAAGAATTGATATCTTTATGATAATGATGCTTTAAATCCAAAACAATCGTATTTCTCCATTTATGCAAATCTTCATTTAGGTGCTCCAGGGAAATGTTAAACACTTTATATAATTCTTTCACATTTCTTAAAAAAAACCGTCAACACTATATATATATTAGCTTAACAAAAACACAAAGCAACAATACCAATAAAACAACAAAGACAGCATTCTGCTGCCTCAGAAACTCACCAGCAGTTTCAGGCTCCAAAGGCAAACACTTATAAGTATTTATAAACATTTCTTCTGTGAGTTTTCTGGTTGTTATCTCTATAGTATATCCATATTTCTCAATTAATCAAACTTTTTTTTTAACCTTTTTTTTTTATTTATTTCTAAGAGAGAGAGAGAGAGACAGCGTGAGCAGGGGAGGGTCAGAGAGAGAGGGAGTCACAGACCGAAATAGGCTCCAGGCTCTGAGCTGGCAGTCAGCACAGAGCCCGACGCGGGGCTCGAACCCACGAACCGCGAGATCATGACCTAAGCGAAAGTCGGCCGCCTAACCGACTAAGCCACCCAGGCGCCCCTCAATTAATCAAACTCTTAATACTTCTTCCAGACACCAGAGACAGTGGATTATACTAAGTGAAATATATTTTCTAATCTCTTTTTACCATTTATATTGTTATCTTTATATCAGTTCTTAGTAACTCTATAACTTTTAATAACAGAATTTAAACTTTATTTCTTGCATCTCTCAATGAAAAAATTAATACTCCCTGTGTTTCCTTCTCTGCCTGCTATCTCCACACTTCTGTTAACTATAAAATAACATTTTATCAGCAGATTTGTAATATTTTAATTCTATTTTCCAATCATTATAGAAAATCTGGTATTTTGTTTACATATGGATTCAAAAATTTAAAATAATATAATAAGGAATAATTATAATATAACTTGAACCTGAATAAGCCAAAATCTATCCAGAATTCAAAGAGAGAAAACTAGCCCAGAGTGAAAAGAGAAAAAGCAGCCCTTCCCAGTCATGCTGGAGAGATAAAGATAAGCCCATTGCAAAGTTAAAAGAAAACATTGCTTCTTTCAGGTTTATGGTTACAAAATGCTTAGCAACACTTTATTGAGTGACTATTGCTTTCTTACCAATGATACCCCAGACATTCTTTCATTTATTACTATAGATACCCAATTGCCAAATTGCCCTTAATTCATGAAAGCACACATTTCCTAGTTAATTCCCACTTCGAATCCCACTTTAGGAAGAGCAGAATTCAGAATGGATCCTCCTTCTTTTAGACCCTCTTCAAAAATGCTCAGCAGAAACTTAATTTTGCAAAAATTGTTTCCCTCTTCTTTTAGTTGAGTAGCATTTCAGGGTTCATCGTGATAGATTTATTTGTTTCTTAGGATATGCCTTTTGATCATACTTTGGTGTTCTTTTGGAAATTTCGGCTTTTAATTCTTCGATTGCCTGTATTTTCTTTCATATGCCTTGTATGTTATCTTCTAAAGAGAGTCTGTAGGAAGGGGCTGGTCTGTCCTGATAAGCTTACTTTTAACTGGTCCAGGAGCCAAGTCCAGAAAGCCTCTTCAGTTAGGCACCCTGTGGAAACAATTGCTCTACATCAATTTTTTTAATGTTTATTTATTTTCGAGAGAGACCATGAGCATGCTTGCAAGAAAGGACAGAGAGAGGGAGACAGAGGATCTGAAGCAGGCTCTGTGCTGACAGCAGACAGCCCAATGTGCGGCTCATGGCTCTCATGAACTATGAGATCACCTGATCCGAAGTCAGACACTTAACCCATTAAGCCACCTAGACTCCCCTCTAAGTCACCTTTTAAAAACCATATAAGGACTCTCCTGTGTGCTGTTTTTTGTGTCTCTGAAACAGCTTTGTTTAGGTCAAGGTTTTGTCAAAATCTTGCTGATGATATTAAAAAAAAAAGGTAGATTGTATAGACAAAAAGTTATAAAAGAATCAGTGTTACCAACTATAACATTTCTCATTGGGTCATCTCATGTTCAGCCAATACCTCTGTGGGGTTGGAAGCCCATTTTTCTCATGTATACTTACTATTATGCTAATTCATATACTTCTCTCTCCAAGTGGCACAATCCTACTAAGGACAATTTGGTGTTATTGTGGCCACAGGAACATGGGGAATTTTTAGTATTGGACAAGAGTTTTCATTTATCAGATGCCTTAAGAGAGACAATGAAAAATGTGTCTGCTGTAATATGATAAAGCTTCTAAAGACAATTAAGACTATAAGACGATTTCCCTAAAAGACTACTTGCAAATGTGTGGTGGATTGAATTGTTTCCCTATAAAAAGATATGTTTAAGTCCTAATATCCACTACCTATGAATGTGATCTCATTTGGAGTCTTTGCAGATGTAATCAAGTTAAGGTGAGTTCATACTGTGTCCTGAATCCAATGACCAGTTTGTTTATAAATGAAAGGAGAGGGTGGCTTGAATATGGAAACACAGAAAAGAAACAGAAGGAAGAGACCAGGCAAAAACTAGGTCAAATGCAGCTACAAGGTCAAGCAATGCCAAGGATTCCTGGAAACTACTACAAAATGGAAGAGGCAAGAAAGGATTCTTCCCTATATGGCTCTGCTGACAGCTTGATTTTGCAATTCTAGCTTCTACTACTTTGACAGAAATTTTTGTTAAGTCACACTATTTGTTATAATTTGTTATAGAACCCCTAGGAAACTGATACAAAAGGCAAATAAAAAATAACAAAAACTTAGATTGCTTCTCTTATGGATCCTTATAAATTCTACTCCCCTTTCCTTTATCTTTGCCTTTCTCCAGCTCTTACTTCTCTTGACTTGTCATTAATTTCCTATCCTTCTCCCTGACTCCCTGTACCATGCCTGGTACTCACTGATGCTTTGCCGCTTTCTCCTTTAAATCCACCTGAAACCCATGCAACCACAGTTTGTATTATAGCTATCTAAAGCCACAACATATCTCACCATTTTTCTGTTTCTCTTTTTTTATCCTCACTAGGGAAATTTAAAAGGTAAATTGATCAGAAAAAAGCAATCTTTTTGTCATTATGTGAACACTCTAGGAATATCTAGTTCAGATAAGCAGTTAAAAATGTGTAAGAAAAAGTTAATTAACTGTGATTCTTTTGCTTTAAGAAATGTGAACAAGTAAATTTAAATAATAGCTTTTGTTACTATAGTTACAAGATAAGAAGGAAAGGCTTTGGCTCAAGATAAAAGAGGAGCCTTCAAAAATGATTTAAAGATTCTTTAACATTTAGTTAAGGAATATTAGATTTGCAAATTGTATTTTTTCAAGTTTATGTAATATCTCTGGTAAATAAATAAAATTTTGAACGAATTGAAATGAGTTAGCAATCTAATTTTATAATACCTCTACCTCTTCTCTACAGTTTTATTATATGAAGCAACATTCTTGTTTAAATAAGACTGAATCTAAACTTCTCTCATAATTCATAGTTTCTAGATATATTGTTATTCTTACTAAAAGCTGTTTACAATTACAATCCAGAAGATAATATTTAGTTGTATGATATTATGATGATGGATGTCGTTTTAAAGAATTTTTAACAAAATCTTTATTGAGGTACAATGATATACAATAAACTGCACATAGTTAAGCATGCAATTTGATTTGTTTGCATATATGTGTACACTCATGAAATCATCACACTATCATGATAAAAACCATATTCATTATCTCCAGAAGTTTTCTCATCCCTTATGGTGATATCTCCTGCCTACCTCTCCATACACCACTCCAACCCCTGCTCCAGGAAACCACTGGTCTATCTGCCACTATAGATTAATTTGCTTTTTCTAGGATTTTATAAAATTGGAATTTTGCAACATGTATTTTGGCTGAATTTTATTATTCAGTGTGATTAGATTTAGATGTATCTATTGCTGAACAGTATGTGATTATATGTTTATTCTACAGTTTGTGCATTGGCTTTAATGGTAATCAGGTAAACTGTCTCAGGTGTTCTTGGTAGCTTTTCTTGTGAACTGATAACTGGATACTCCATGTGCCTCAGAATATCTTCTCTAATCCCAAATTCTCCCTTATTACAAGTTGACATTATTATATATCCCAAAGGACTCACGTAATACACAGTGTAATCATCAGTATCTAAGAGCAGCCTTTCCTCAACATCCCTTTAAATAATCTTTGCATAACCTAAAACCTGGAGATGTAATTTTCTTCAAGTGTTTGAAACAACAGCAGAAAAAGACTATTTTTGAAATTTGATGTGTAAGGACCTTATCAGGTACTATTAACAAGCCACACAACAGTGAATGTTCTATGGTCATTATCCTTGAATTCATGCCTCTCAGCTAAAGTGACATAATCAAATCACTATTCCAGAAAACTTTCCTTATTAGAGACTATAACCTATGAATTCTTAAGCACCCTCCCCCAATAAATGCAAACATATATTCCTAACTTTAAAGCAGACAATCTTTAGAAGGAGCTAACTCAGCCCAAGAATTTTGGATCAAGTAGATGACTGAATGAGATGCAGGAATTTATACCTGAGATCCACAGAACATCATCACAGATTGCTGTTTTAATCTTCATTATTTTGTTTTTTAGCTTCCTAGCTATCTTTTTCTTCTTTTGCTGGTTTAGGGCTTACTTTTAGCAATGTTACTTATAGGACCTCAATTCTTTTTTTTTTTTTTTTACATTTTTTTTTAAATTTATTTCTAGGAGAGAGAGAGAGACAGCGTGAGCAGGGGAGGGTCAGAGAGAGAGGGAGTCACAGACTGAAACAGGCTCCAGGCTCTGAGCTGGCAGTCAGCACAGAGCCCGACGCGGGGCTCGAACCCACGAACCGCGAGATCATGACCTAAGCGAAAGTCGGACGCTTAACCGACTAAGCCACCCAGGCGCCCCAGGACTTCAATTCTTAATATTGTTCTTTTTTTTTTTTTTACATCATCAATTACCCCTTGGTATGAGTTAAACATCTGTCTACAATTTGCTTATGATTTGGATAAAACATAATAGTTAAACTGACAATTGGAATTCCTTTGGATGCCAAAATTTCCTTTGGTGCCAATTTCTTAAAATAGATCAGTTGGCTTCCTAAGTATTTGCACTCAACTATTACGATACTTCTTAGAAGGCTAATATCACAATAATCCAGAGAACCAGAAATCTAATCACCCTATTAGGTCATCCTTTCTCTTCTCTGAAATAACATCCAGAGCATGGCATTCAGCTTTTATAACTGGACTTTCAGAGATACAGAATTAGAGGAAGTCCTAGGGAACACAAGGCATATGTTTGAAGGCTTCTTA